AAGAAAGAAAGAAAGAAGAAAGAAAAAGAAAGAAAGAAAGAGAGAAAGAAAGTAGACGATAGCATCACAGAGGAAAACACTAGACATTTGCCTGTGTTCTCGTCTTCACCTTTTACTTCCTCACCTGAAGGAAGGTAATACAGGGATGGCAGAGCTCCAAAGCAGGGCAAGAAATCGAGTGCAGTGAAGATTCACTCACGCCAAGAGATTTCAAAAGTTAGAATTACTAAATCTGGGCTGGAAAATAAGACAGATTTACTTAGGCATTAAAGATAGATACTGGCCAGTAAAACTGATAGATCCTTATTACATTGTCCCGAAAGAGATTGTGCACTCAGCGTAGTTAATGCTAAAGAAATTTAAAGCAAGTTATAGAAAATACTTCTTCACCTGGTAGAATTCATTCTGAGGAATTTGCTGCTACAGACAGTCATGAAATCAATCACGGAGCTGGATTTTTCAAAGGGGCAGGATAATGTATGACCCACTCTTCTGGCTAGTTGGGAAGGATAGAAGCAAGCAATTCGCCTGCTTCTAGGAGATCACAGTTGATTACAAGTGGGGTCAGCAAAAAGATGTACCCCTCACTTGATCAGGATAATTAAAAAGTGTTTGCCCATGTTCACGTGTCCTGGAAGGAAATAGGAAATAGGATGTAGAGATCAAATGAGGCGATCCGATGTGACTAATGTTTTTTAACAGGGACAGAGCATTGAACAACACAAAGATCAATTCTAGGAACTAATTATAGGTGTTCCCTAAATATTTTTCATCAAAGCATTTTTTTCTGGGAATATAAATATTACACAATGTTTTTGTTTTTTAATATGATTCTCTGACAAGTATTCTTGGAATATATCTGCCAAACCTGAAAACAGTTTTCATGACTTTTCTTTTTCCCAATGAAAAGTAGAGTTTAGTCAAAAGTTGTGAATGCACTGGAAATATGAACAAGACAATGCAAATTTTGATGTTGTCATGATGGTCAGTAATAAACTTCTTTGATAAAGTCATCAAGTTTAAATTCAGCATCTTTTTCTTTTGTAATCAATATATCACCTCTTTACCTTATTTTTCATGGAAATGTGTAGTCTCTAGGACATCCCTTGGCACTACAGCAGATGTATCAAAAGTAACGTTGCAGAAAAAGATTTCAATGATTTCAATCATAGGTGGAATTTAGAAAAAAATGAATAAAGAAAAAAAGAGACAGAACCAAAAAACAGACTCTTAACTATGGAGAACAAACTGACGGTTACTAGGGGGAGTGGGGGGATTAAAGAGCACACTTATTATGATGAGCACAGAGTAATGTACAAAATTGCTGAGTCACTACCTGGTACACCTGAAACTAATATAACACTGTATGTTGAAAAAAAAAGAAGAAGAAGAAGAAACAGAGGTGCCTGGCTAGCTCAGGGCATAGAGCATGTGACTCTCGATCTCAGGGTTGTGAGTTCGAGCTCCACGTTGTGTATGGAGATTACTTAAAAATAAAATCTTTTAGGGCGCCTGGGTGGCTCAGTCGGTTGGGCGACTGCCTTCAGCTCAGGTCATGATCCCAGGGTCCTGGGATCGAGTCCCGCGTCGGACTCCTGGCTCAACGGGGAGTCTGCTTCTCCCTCTGACCCTCCCCCCTGTGCACTCACACATTCTCTCTCTCTCTCAAAAATAAATAAATAAAATATTAAAAAATAATAAAATAATAAAATCTTTAAAGCAACACTGTACCTCTGGCATTCTAATTCATGAGCTTTAGAGAGAGACACTAGAAAAGTATTTCAGGTGTGGTTGGAGCCTTCATTTTTGTTTGGGCACAAAAGAATGACACCCAATCTATGAAAAAGGGAAATATTGCTTTACAAAATTACAAAACAAAATCCTGGATGAGTCATCATAAAACCTAGTCTTTGATGGGCGCCTGGGTGGCTCAGTTGGTTAGGCGACTGCCTTCGGCTCAGGTCATGATCCTGGAGTCCCGGGATCGAGTCCCGCATCGGGCTCCCTGCTCA